AAGTTCAAGGGAAAAAACGGCATGATCAGAGCCGATGCAGGTATCCCAGGATGGAACCACGCCACCTATAACTTATGGAAAAATGATCTATTTGGGTCGATCGCAAGCCAGCTACAGGAGGATGCCAAGTGGCACTTTGGCGCCCACTGTGTTTAAAAGCGACGTTACTCAGAAACAACTGGTGCTCCGCTCAAAGTTGAAACAGACGCTCGCCGTTGTCAGTCCGTTCCGAGTTAAGCCTATAATTACCAAGTAGCTGAGCTTGTGAAAAGCCCGTACGCCCTACTTGTGCGTTCGTATCCCCTGCAAGTACTATGACACCTGAACTAGTAGCACAGCGTAGTAGATGGTTCAGTTCGTGATAGAATGTCCTTGTCTGCATCATAACTGCAGTCATTTAGAGCATAAGCGGAAATCACAAACAAACAGCGTTTTGTAGTACTTCGTGAAACAACCTTAGTAGACGTCGAGAAACCGGCTGCACACAAACGGCTGTTCAAAAGAACCCAATCAACCAAAGATGGCTCAGCCTTGGAGGGGAGTATGACTCCAGCTTGACCCGTGAGTGCTGCATCGGCGTCTCTGGATGCGTGCAACCCATACCGAGAGGACAAGCCGGGCGCAGCTAATTCAGCAACCCAATTAGGGTCATTGATCGTAGTTTCGGACAAACAACACGTCAATACCCAGTGCGTCCAACGTGCGTGTGAGTGTAGCCTGCTGATCTATCTTAGAATGCGAACGTTGAACGCCGCCAGGGAAAAGGGGCAACGTGGCCATATTAGGGACGGTTGCCGATAGGCGTCTAGTGAATGTTGCGGGTAGGTGGCTGCAGATGGTTCCACTCCAGTGGCACTTCGGTTGCTGACAATTAAGCTGGGAAGTATAGAAGGAAGGTTAGTAATGGAGTCGGGATGGGAGTAAAAGAACCAGGTGGAAAAGAAAGGCGCCAGCAGTAGCATGTTTTCGATTATCTGCTCTGCTATATGCAGCAGATAAAGCGACCCTTGATAACCTGCGTGACGTCCGATGCAGAATGGAGTTTGGAGAAATTGTTGTGGGTGTATGTGGGCTGAGATACTGCCATGGCGCCGAGGTAGACAGGAGGACGATTAAGGTACACAACCAAAGATTTTGGCTCAAAAGTCTATCCGCAAGATAGCGGGGAGGTGGCAATAGTTTAGTTTTACAGAAATGGACGCCATCTCATTTTAAACCCCTAACTTGGAGGACCAGGAGACTGAGTTTCTCTGACCTCTAACCATTGACCAACCTGGTAGAAGTAGCTTTCAAGGGACCCAGAGGTACCACCCAGTATAGCCTAATGGGTCAGAAGCATGCAAACCGTCGCTCCCAGTTAACGTCCAGTCTCGTTGCAACGGCAGTCACAACAATAATTGGGGGAATGAAATCAAAAACGCGAAGGCATAGCAAACAGAAGGAAAATGAGGTGGATAAAATACTAAAAACTCACGATGCAGTTGCTACCTCGTGGAGAACCAGTTAATAGATTAAGCGAACGAAATTGCTTTGCAGTTTGACGATATGCATGTAGCATGCGGTCCGCAGTTTCAAAGTGGACGTAGGGCCTTTGGTGACTCCCCAAACTTCGAGAACGAGAAACCTGAAATAATTGGTCAATCCACTTACCTTATCAGTTTTCTCAACAATGAGCGCACAGCCGCTCACGCGCACGCTCAACTCACGCATTAGGAAAGCTAAAATGACCTTATTAAACCTGCAACATCTGTGTCGTCAGAAGCGGTTCTGATGCACCAAGCCTTTGATCACCGTTACCTGCGGAGCATTGATGGTGTCGGATGGCACCAGCGTGTGTAGGCGAGTAGTAGGCGGTAATAAGTAGGCTAGTTTCTTAGAACAAGTTATAATTAATAAGTTGCGTTAGTTTAGTCACATGATACATGCCCGAGTCACTGCTTATCGCTGAACCTAGTTTTGTTTGTTTGGATGATGTAAGGCTCGAGGTGGGCAATGGGAAATTGAGACCCTGACGACTGAAGTGAGTGTTGTTGGTTCATCCTGTCTTGGCTTGAGACTTTAAAAATCGATGTCAGTGGCGTGCCTGCTGTCGCCAAGTCGGACTGCCTGTCTAAATTGTCGGATGCTGCGAAATAAAACGCGAAGTAGTCAAAGTTATAAAGAGGCGGTTTCGCCGATAGCGCCTAATTTCGCACGAAAGTGAACTGTTAGCCAACGCGTATTGCTGACAAGATGCAGGCACCTTGAATCTGTTTGTTTAAAGCGGTTAGATGTTACGTGAAGTGTACTTTCTCTCCTGCTTATTAATCCTCACTTAGATCAATGGTTGTAGGGTAGCGAAGCTAAGTTCAAATGGCTGATGTTCTGCTGTTAAGGATGATAATAAACAGGTAGAAGAAGCAGGGTGCAACATCGACTTTGGTTTCGTGACAACAGGTTCCCGCCATTTAACGATTTAGATCGTTACATAAAATATTCCAACGAATGACCCAGTTCTACTGACTTTGTGACCACATGATATTCCATAAGGTGTTCAACCACCGATACGGCCGGTTCCGAGGAGGATAAGCGCCGACCTGATTCAAACTTTCCGTGGGTTTCTTCATGCTTTCATGTCATTAGGTAGCCACACTAGGCTTTCATTCAATCAGGCGCAGTATTGTCAAAAGATAGCGAGGTAATCGGTTTGCAGACAAAAGTCAAAATGGGGGAAAATGACGCAACAAGCCACAACGCACAACGGGATTGCGAAAATGAGTGGCATGTGCAATGGTCAATTAAAAACAGTAGTGGCCCAGAGTCACTGCAAGCGCTGGAGCACGATACATGCAAACCAAGCCTTCGATTTCACATCTATGTTGCCGCTCCAAAAACGCCAGTCAAGGTAGCGCAATGTTGTTAGGTCAGAAATGCGCTCAACACATTTGGTCGAAAACACTTGTTGACACAGCAGGAACCTGACGTCAGTAGTTTGTGTGTGCGTTCATTGGTCCCTCCTCATCCTGCTTAGCCTCCGCTTAAACCAAGATTTCACTGCCAATGCACAGGAGTAAAAAAAGATGTTAATACTTTGTGTTGTATCCTCTTCATTATTTATTACTTTCTTGTGCTGATTATATTGCTGCATTGCATTGCGGCACAACAGCTGATACCTTACTGCTAACATGTAAAATGCTGATGAGTGAAACTTTGGCCTATAGCGAACGCACCGAGTCCTGGCTACAAGGCGTTGCAATGTGTTGGCCAGGATTTGCGATAGAATCTTGCAACATCCACTTAATGCAAGACTCAGTTGGTCAACGACAATCGAAATAAGTGCAACGGCAGACCAATCGCTACAAAGAGCAAGTGCGGGGGACCACAAAACGTGGTAACAAACATGAAATGGGACTTTTCTAGAAAAAAGGTCCGTGGACGGAAATATATAAGAATGCAAATATAGGTTTGACAGCGACTCATTAAGCCAGCCGGAACACATAAATGTGCCAGTTGCTGAAGCGACCGATGCCAGGGTCCATATAGAGGAAGGCGCAGAGCTACAGAAACGAGCATAGATCAGCTCCATGATAGTATTCGTCGGGCCTTCAGCTGATCACTCGGATACATTACCAATGTCGATAGACAGCGGACTGATCCAGGCATTCAGCACGAATTCCACCCAAATCAAAATGCAACCATTTGTGGCTAGATAAAGAAGAAAGGTATCAGCAGTTAGCCGGTACGCAGTACCGAGGCTTCGGTGCTGCGCAACCGCCACAGGTCGCACGTAGGCTAAGGATACTGTGAGGGTCGCCCTGCCTCTACGCAGGCTCGAACCAGCGCCGCAAGATTGCGAGACAATCTCGTTATCTACAGACCGCGGGCCTACATGAGTCCATTTGGCTCGGTTTCGTCACTTGGAAAGGAAAAAACAGGTATTGGTAATACTAAGTCCCGCTACCACGTAACCATGAACCCATTTTCTTAGGAATCACAAGCCTCCTGTGATCTGAAATCGCGAGATTACAGGGCATGCTCATGATGCTTAAGACCAAGGGCTCATGGTTACGTGGTAGCAGAAAGAAGTATTACCAATACTTGTTCTTTTCCTTTCCAAGTGCACACCTAATAAGGTAGCAGACAATACCACCGATGGACGGTCAGTTGGCCAGCTATTTAGTCAAATTAAGGGTCGCCGAAGGAGTAAGTTAGCAGTCCAGTTGGGTGAGTTGTAGTCCAAATGCATGACAATGTTTCGATTCAGTCGACTTTAGAAAGTGGCGATGAAAGCGAGCCAAATGGGCTCATGTAGGATAAGGGCCGGCACGCAGCCTATAGGTGACGAGCTTGTCACGCAACGTTGCGGCGCCGCTTCGATCCTGCGTAGCGGCAGGTCAACCCTCGCAGTAGCCGTAGCCTACGTGCGACCTGTGGCGGTTGCGCGGAGGCGAACCGTCGGTAATGCGTACCGGTATGCTGCTTATACCATTTTATGTGGGTTAAGGTCACACAGGAAAGTTGGTCGTCGACCTGAACCCCTGGAATTTTGGATCACAACACAGTGCTCCGGAACACGCATCTACCCGCTCGCTCATAACACCTAAACATCACGGCACATTAGAATGCGAGTTCAACGTCAATAGATAGATTTTAACTACGGGACACAGCATATCGGCACTAGGGACACGATAAGCGGTAACAGGACTGCAGTGAGTAGGGAAATGATCAAGAAATTCAAGGTTCACTGCATACTAAGGCCAAGCTGCTAGTATCGGAGAAGCTGCAGCGTAGTTGGAAGGCGACATCAAGATACAAAATGGCTGAGAAAGTAAACATGCGATGCAACCAGTGGACTGACCGAAGGGTAATGATCAACATGCAGAAGTTCATAGGCTCAGATGGAAGGAGCAATTAATGAACGCCGGTAGTTAACCAACATGTAAGCCGATTTAAGCTAAAGAACAAATTTCGTTGAACGCAATAGATGGAAGCGGAGCAAAAGAAAAGTGTATTACGCTTACCTATGCACAGCCTTCTCGGCCGACGCAACATCGTAAAATTCGATCAACGCTTGGCCTCTTTGGGGCATAATCGTGATGTCCCTGACGGAACCATACTGTTCGAACACTTTTAACAAATCAATTTCCAACGTGTGCTCCGGTAATTCACTTATGTGGATGACAGGGGAAGGCTCTAGCTCACCCCAATCTTCCGGCCGATTACGTTTACGAGCGAGCGACATTCAGGTAGTCGTGTTCACCAGCCTTGAAAGCCAAGATCAGGAGAGTAAAACTATTGGGTGAAGTTCCCGGTTACGACCAGTGTAGGATTTTACTTACCATTAATTTGAGACTCTGCATCCCAATTGAATAACAAACTCAAACTAATAATATGACTATAGTCATTGTTAATATTACTGTTAACTATAATCTTACGTTTAATTAGTTCCTCAAAAGTGAGATAGCATAGTTACTCAAGCAAAATATTTATTTTTAATAAGCAAACGATAAAAGTGTTTAACTCACGATGTTGTTAGCGCCTGTCAAAGATCACTATTTTAAAGAAGTATCTTTATGGCAGTTATTGGCAAAGAAAACAAAGACACCAGCTTTCAAATTTCCGCCACCGGAAAACGGTCATCCACCGCATTTGTGTCAAAAGCAATGGTTACTCCGCCAATGGACTTGATCCGGCTGAGTTCGTCAAAGTAATCAAACAAAACGCACTAATATTCCACTCAGCTGCTAAAGAATACATGAGAAACAGGCAACTGCGGATAGGATTGTTTTTAATGCGGCGTTTGCATTTTACATAATGTACATGTACGCTGATAATAGGAAATCTTTACTAATGTCATGGATCTTCTGCCTCATCTCCAAAAGAAACGATGTCACGTTATTTCAAAATTTTGTGAACTTTTCTTCAATTAACTCCTGCCTCCTCAATTCCTTTGGAGCGAGTGCGTTGTAGTGACCTGGAGATTCCCCTGTTTGGCTGCCGTATGCTGCGTAAAATATTACAAAATCACAAAATTATATTTTATCGATGTACATAGCAAATTAGCCGCTCGCCTGTTTGAACGTTGCTCGCGTTTGTTTGAGTCAGATAGCATCCGCCTTCGAACGGCGAGACGCTCCTCGGCTCCGCGGCCATCTTTGTTCTCCGCGCACGCGACCACAACTTTCCCTAGCTAGCTATCTTTCGGTGCCGTATTTTTAGCACTAGATAGCCTTTCGTCCACTTAATAAATTTTCCCTAGCGTTACGTTTGGTGTTCTCCACTCATCGGAGGTTGGCCTTATTTTCGCGTATTGGTTTTAAAGCGTACTGATCTCGCTTCGCGCTTTAGCGTTAAATAACCAGGTTTGGAGGCATACTGGTCGGTAGTCCCACCTCAAGTCCACGATTACCGCAGATGGTCCGCATCACACCAAAAAGTGACCATTACTTATGAGTTCTGCTTTCAAACTTTTATGTTCTGGAATCGGCATACAGGCGGATCTTCCTCTAGAGGACAGGGGGAACCTAAAGCAGCCGTCTAAGAATCTTGGCACGTCGCACGACGTGGAAAAATTGTCTGTGTTTGGCGGGTTTTCGGTCATGCGCCGGCGGTCCACTTCCGTCCTGCCACAGCCAATTCTGATGGCGCACGATCCTAGACTCACCTTAACAAAACCCTTAATGTAATACTCAGTAACGTGCGTAGCGTGTGTATGATGTTGTGCGTTGTTGGCACACTCGTGGACCACCGTCACCTCAATGTCCTCGCTTTCACGGAAACTTGGCTGTTTGTGGAAGCAATGAACAGTGAAATATTTATAGTTGGCTGCGCACCGCTGTTATCAGATGGCCTTTGCGACCTCCGTGTTTATGGAGCCGCACTCTAACTAAACTCTCTTTTAAGCGTTTCCACGACAGTTAAATTCTACCCTACGGATGCGAACGTATAAGCGCTCTCTATTGCAGTGTGTATCTTGTCTTCGCAATTTAAGCTTGTGTTAGTGTTTAAAAGTCCTGTTAGTGTTTGTACAAGTTAAATCGGGTTTATTCGCGCTCACTCTACAAAACGATGATGTGGACTTTAACTTTTCAGTGGTTGATTGTCGAAAAATCACCTGCGTGGCGGAGACTACGGGCTTGGCTGCATAGCTCGTAAAGCAGATGTTCCAAACACCCTACATCCGTTTGTAGGTCAGCCAAAAATGCATATGGAGGGACAGCCTCCATCTATACTTGATCTTAGTTTCGCGAAATCAGTTGATTTTGTAAGCCATATAACTTATGGTCTGCAGCTTGGAGCTGGTGTCCACCTCTGTGTTTCCTTAGGGTGCGCTGTCAATCGAGTCCAAGAGAAACGCATGGTTAGACGCCCAAACATCTAGCGTGCTAATTTTTAGGCAATGCGATCCAGAGCTGCCTTTTCTTCTTGCACTATCTTAGCCACAGATGATACGCAGATGGCACGCGAGAAATTCGAGTCATATTTTGCTGCATTGTCCATCCCCAACGTTCCATGTTCGTTTGGAAGGAAAGCAAATTCCAAGCCACCCCGGTTCCATCTGACGGCACATCAACTGCTAGACAAGCGACCAAGTGTTGGCGGATTTACCTTCTGACTTTGTCAGATAATGTATTGCTGTGTTATTTACCGGCAAGTAACAAGTTAAAGCGGCACCTAAAATATGCCAGGCTTCTTTGTGAACTGGGGACTGCAACCATAGCTTCAAACAATCCGTAGCGCTTTTTCTCTTACGTCAGAAGACGAGGCCGTGTAGATCCATTCATCCGGGTGTTGCACGGACCTGGGGTAGTTACTGCTCATATCGACCACGCCAAGAACTGTCTTCTCGGCGAGCTGTATGCGAACACGTTTATTCTCCAGTCTTCTTTACCGGCTACGGATTCAGATGTTAAACTTCCGGTGGACTCTTCTTTGACCGATATCACCTTGTCATAGGCCCAGTTGCGTTCGCTGCCGGGAGAACTGAATCCTACCAAAGCAGATGGTATTGCGGCCATTCATCCAAATCGGCTATATGACCTGGCAGATGAAAGTTGTGGGCCCGTTGCTTGCTTGTCTGAGATGTCTCCTAGCAGGTGCACCTTACCCACCGACTAGAAGGAAATTGTAGTGTGCCCTACATTTAAAATGGGAAATAAGCCTTTTCCGGTAAAGTTCAGGCTTGTTAGTCTAATCTGTGAGCTGGTTAAGTTGCAAAAAAATCAGATGAAGAAAGCAAACGAAAACCATTTACCGCTGTTTGGCCTTAGATATCTCAACATGGTTTTCGAAAAGAGTCTTCCTGCTTGACAAATTTTATGGTTGCTCGAGAAGTGTGGGCGGAGTCTGTCGATCAGAGTCAATCAATGGATGCGCCATTTGTTGAATTCGCCAAACACTTTGATTCTGTTCCTCATATTCGTCTTTCCCTTAAGCGCTCTCCTTATGGTGTTGCCTGGCATGCCCTTCGATGGCTGTCCGCATTTTTCGATGAGCGAGAGATGTGCTTTCGGGTGGGCTGCAGCCTTTCTTTTCGACAGACAGTTCTGAACTGCATTCTGCCGGAATCTGCTCTTGGCTCACAGCTACTCGCTATGTACTTAACTCTACGGCCAAAAGTGTTGGGGCTGCTTCCCTCAGATTCGACGACGACTTGAAGCTTCGGTGCCCAGTGAGCGACTCTGAGTGATCCCAACATCTGCACAAGGCTCTTGATAGACCTCGTGATTGGTCCGTTCTGTGACAGGTGCCAATAAACTACAGCAGGTGTTCAGTTTTGCGCACAGGACCTAACGGCCCCACAACGCACCACTTGCTTGACGATAATGCAATCCCACACGTATCCCAACACCTTGCCTTGGGGATCGTGTGGTCGCAGGATTTTATATCCGTCGTGCACTGGAAGAAAGCGCCTTGCAAGCTTTTTCGGAGCCTCTGGATAATCAGTAGACCAGCTTGTATCCTAACGGAATAAAGGTTTGTTAAATCCTTGACGGCTTTCTTTAGACCGCACTTGGAAAATGGCCTCCAGACTTAACCTCGTTGCCTGACTTGTGATAGGATGGCGGTAGAGCGGGTCCCAGGAATCAGAACAAAATTGGTTAACGGTTGCGGCACTCGTCCTGTCCTGACAGGTTGCTCAAGCTAAGTATGTTTTCGTTGCATTATCGTCCTCTTCGTGGAGGCCTGCTTCTCACTTATCGTATACTGACAGGGCGGATAAGTCCGGGCCACTCTTGGCTTTTCATCCTACACAGTTACCCACTCACCGCGGGCGTCCGATGAAGTTGAGCCACATCAGAGCTTATTTGGTTTAGGCTGACACTCGTTTGTCACGCCAACTGCTACGTTCTTGGAACGCGCAACTTGAGGGCGTGGTCTTGTCACCCACGGCGACAGCGTGTAAACGTCGCATCGACTTGCAGCTCTGCATCTTCCCCTTCTCCTTTCAAGTTACTTTCTGTTTGCAAGCCAGCTATCATCCATTTCATTCCCGCTTACTAACTTGCTCTTCATTACCTCTTTCGTACCCTTGCGCTTTATATCCAGTCTACAATTTACTTTTCCTTTATTTATTTCACGCGGCCGGCATACTGGGGGCTGTTAGCGCAAGACTCATGGGGTTCGCTTGTTTGACCATGCTTTGAGTTGTACGTGCTGATTTGGCTCCAACAGCTGGCCGACCTTGCCATTGCATTCTAACGTGGATCAACGAAGCATACAGGATGGAACGATCAGGCTAATCACGTTTTGCTTCGGTCCCCTTTGAATATGAATTTACCTTCAGTGCATCATGAGGGAGGAGTTTCCCGGTCAATGCGTATTGATTCTTGTGGTTTCTAAAGACCTTATCCATGTTTAGCTATAAGGTTCAGGTGTCTGCACTGCAGCGAAGGTGTGGTCTCGTTTTCGAAAGTCGTACAATAATCTGAGTGTAAAAGGACGGATGCATATACCAAGCTGCGACATTCCTCCTGAAGTATATGGGTCCCCGCAACGCTACACTACTATGGCTGTCACCGCTTCCTGTATCCGCTGCCGTACTTCATTAAACAGTAGGCGCCTTCATACCGGAATGCTACCCCTGAGCTGTTGTACTACTCCGAAGAAGTTGGAAGCCCCACCATCCTTGACACTTGGTTCAGAGCACTCTCCGTCCACACCTACTTTCGGCTGTTACCCTAGGTGTGAAGGAAGCCGACCTATCTGCCTCCCAGTCGGGGCTTTTGATACTCGCCTTGTCGAGTGAGACCCCTACTGAGACATATGCAGTCGTGATGAGGGACGCTGCCGCTGTCCCAAGTAGTCGGAGCTCAATT